TCTCGCTATTGTCGATCGGGCACACTTACGCTCTCTCGAACTAACCACTCGACATCGTACAGGCCCGCTAGCACAAACAGGGCACACTAGCGCTCGTCCGAAGAACACTTCGGAACCGTGCAGGCCCTAAACAGCTGACGCAAGAGTCACTGAGGTTCACACACACTGGTTACACATGACCAACACAGATCGACTAATAGACTCTACAAATACGGATTATCAAATCCTTCACGAATTAGAAATACTACTTCTAATTGTTTTTTCCTGTGACTAGATTCTACTGCTGTTCCTTGCACATAATCAAAGACATAATCGATTACATAATAAATTCCATTTAAGATCTAACAACTCATCAAGTATAGCTATTCATCAATCAAGGATACTTGATTCAACTACCATCTTCTCATGCTGCCTCACAAGCATGATTGACTGACATCAGCTGACATTGATAACTACACAATAACCTCAAGGCAAAACAGCAATATCCAAAGAAGCCTTTATAGCAGAAAAATCACAAGAACACATCTTTTGAATAATCCAACAGAATATTTATTTCTACACAACAGTGCAATATTATTATAATTGTTTACACTCATTAAACCTTGTTTTAAAATAAATATATTATATTTTTCAGCCTTGTCCGTTATTGATTTCCTTTAAAATTATCCTCCCGTGAGACTAATCCACTGAACTATTGAATTGGCAGTTCGAGCCATAAGCTAACCCTTTAAATCCGAACAATAGAAATTAAATAAAACCCAATTTTTATAAATATATATGATTATTATACAAAAATAAATAATAATATAATTGTAAATTAAAATTTTTTATTATGTATAGAATGTCAATTCATAATACAATTATCAATTGAGTTGTATTGTTATCTAGAGCCTAATACTGTGTAATTCATTAGCTTATATACATTTTATTTACACTGATTTTGCTTAACTATAAATAAATAATATCCAATTAATCGAGAAAAAAGTAATACATAATAAAAAAATTTGATACAATATACAAAAATAAACGGTATATGCTTAAAACTCTTATTAAAATTAGATTTTTAAATAAACTAAAATAGATATTTATTATAAATAACTACAATTCAATACAAAATAACAATCTAACTATAATGGTGTGTATATAACTATGTAGTCTGTGATACAAATTTCTTATTGAAAGTATAGTGTAATTTATAATATCACATAACACTTGGTGACCTTTTGAGGCCGAAATTAATATTTGAAAAGAAAATTCATATTAAATATGTAATATCTCATATTGTACTATGAGCAAAAGTATATAATAATATTTTCATGAGTTATAATGCTAGATAATATATTATTTGGATTTTTTCACTATGTTTAGTCAAAATATTTCTAAAATATTAATATCATTACTTATTAATACTTTTATATCCATATTTTTCTTATATATTAAATGAATCGAGATATATATATATATATACATATATATATATATATATATATATACAATTGTCTTTAATTTACAAATTATCTTTGTACGTAAAGTAAAAGGAGACTGAAGTTTGAAAAATGAAATATAATACAATAAAAATTAAAATGAAAAAAAACATTTTTATTTTGATGTTATGAAATATAACCTTAAGAATAGTTTAATAATTGAAAAATAATTAATTATTCATAGATTAAAATAAAAAAAATGCAAATCAATTTATTTTCATTCAATTAATTATATATTATTATATATATATTCAATGATATAGTATGTTTTTTTAAAGAATGATATATGAAATCTAGATATTATTACGTTTTTTAGTAGTATTTATTCATAAAAAGAATTTTTAATGCTACTGAAATAACGTAATTTTAATGTAATTTGTTAAAGAAATTTTAACAAGAATTTAAGAAAAATTATTCACATATTTATACTTACTGGATCCAGACTACCAAGTATATAACCTATTTGACCTGTCGGATATGATGGTACGCATGAAATTCCATACTTTACTTTAGGAAATGATGCTTTACAATGGTATAGAGTTTTTTTTATATGATCAAGATTAGACCAAATTGTCCCGGCTTGACTACATATTATTCCACCAGGTTTTAATGCTTTTTTCATTGATGAAAAGTAATGTTGTTGGAAAAGAGATATTGCAGGTCCTTAAATTAAATTAAAAAAAAAACTAATAAAAATATTTTTAAATATTTATGCTTAAAATTACATTTTTTAATTATTGTAAACTGTTCGGGATTGAGGCAGCTTAATTCAAAATTAAAATTGGGTAAGTTACAGACGTTTGTTTGTAATTTCGATTCAGCGATTCCAGGAATTTTCCTATACCATAACGTCTAATATATGGCAATATTTCCGAATAGCAACGATGAAGCTTCTGGAATATTCCAGAGCTTTGCTCTATGACGTTGCAACGCTTTTCGGCATAGCAACAGGCTACGGCGCTGTTGTAGGTGTCGCAAACTATGCCGCGAATAATCCTTCAGTCAATAATCTGTCAGAAATCCATTCAGTCGCCATACACCTGGCTCATGGTGTTTTTTTACTATCAATTCAATTTAGTGTTCATTGTAATTCTACACTTCATACATTGTTTGTTATTATTAGTTAGTGCATCTCACACATCAGTATCACTTGCGCCAGCACGAACTTCAACTGAAATTTTCGACAATCAAGAAATCAAGAAAGCACTCTACCACTACAATAGAATAATTCTCTATCTCAATAGAAGCAACCAACAACGCTATAATATTATTATAATTCATAACCAGAATAAACAATAATAGAACTCAAATATATTACATTATACTTTTCAGCCTTTCCACTTGTGCCTTCTTTCTTCCTAACCGCTATGGCAAGAGATTAATCCACTGAACTATTGAATTGGCAGTTCGAGCCTTAAAATAAATATTAAATTTCGACCATTTGGTCCTTCGAGTTGGATTATCTCATCGCCAGATAGCAGATTCAAGGAAACAAGCCCGACCTGCAAACATCAGGTCTGGCAGACATAATGGAAAACATCACAGTGGCGGCTCATCACGCACATTCAAATAGCGGCGGCTCATAACGCACATTCAAACAGCAACGGACCTGCAAACATCGGGTCTGCCGGATGCAGAGGGAAATGATATATTCACATAACACGTAGTACTACTTTACGAATCGCTAACCGTTCAATCTCAAACGGGAGATCCACGACTCCCTCTCCTTTAGTTCATGACGAATAAGTAAGATACAAAAAGGGTCACAATGGATGTCAAGGGCACCAAGACACTCAAGGCCACCAAATCAGCGAGGGCCGGAACATTTCGCAGCGCCACATCCCCACAGATAAACAATGAATTTTCAATGAAAATAAAAACACAGCTTAAGCGCATTGAATTATTACAAACCCTCGCTGAACAATATGCCACACCTGGTCTCAACGTCACTGTAGAGGAACTCTCGGACTCTTACTCAGTAGCAGAGGAAATACACAAAGCCTTAGCCAAAGAACACGCGTACTTAGAGATCATCTGGCTATCGGATCAAGAAGATCACGAAGATCTTTCATCAGATGCCTTCAAAAGAGAAACCGTTCAATACACTACCATTCGAGGTATCATCAGTACGCTTTGCCAACGATCGATGCAACGATCACCAGTCCTCAGTACCTCTAATAAAAACAACCGTATGCCGTCTATCAGTGCTTAAACTTCCCAAATTTTTCAGAAAACAAGAAGATTGGGATGGATTCAGCGATCTCTTCACGGCACTCGTCCTGGACCACAAATATATCACTCAGGTGGAAAAGTTACATTACCTCTACACCTCATTAGACGAGTCAACTCTGCCATTAATAAAGGGACTCCCGCTAACCAACGAATCACTATCGCCAGCATGGGACCTGCTTAATAAACAGTACAAAAATCAACGTCTTTCAATCCGTTCCGGCCTTCTTAAATTATTCCCCCCGGTAAAACCAGTAAAACGTGACGTCTAGAGAACTTGGCCAAAAGATCAGAAGAGGTAATTAAGCACCTCCTCTCCCTAAATATCCAGCCAGACTTGTGGAATTACATCCTGGTACATCAAATTTCACTCTACTTTGACTGCGCCACCGTGGAGCTATGGGAAGCTTCGCTTGAGACATCCGCTACTTACCCGTGATTAGACCAATTAAAAACGTTCCTCACAACCATGGTGAGGTCACTACGACAAGGTGAAGAGGTGATTCAGCCTCTTGCACGCTCACTGAAACCTACACCAATGCATTCTCGATCAATACGATCCTTGTCCTCAAAAAAAGGTCCTCCAACTGTTACCAGTTATCTGTAAAGAAACCTCTGTCAAATCCTTCTTCAGTTCGAGATAAAAAAGGCTGTTCCTATTGCGACGGAGAACACCCAATCAACTTCTGTGATCAATTCATGAGCAATCCGACGCAAACAGACGAAGAATTGTAGCAGAGAGAGGGTTCTGCGTAAACTGCTTATATCATCACGATGACAGCCTTTGCGGTGTACGATCGAAATGCAAAAAATGCCGAAAAACCCATAACACCATGCTACATAAAGCGTTTTCAAACGAATGTTCTCGCGAAAAGATTATAACTCCATCGCCCAGCTGAGATGAGGGTGCTATCGTCGAAAACAGTCATGCAAATTTTTCATTACTTGCCACCGCCATTGCAGAATTGCGATCAAATAACATAACTCGACAAGCTCGTCTCCTCTTTGATACAGGCTCGGAACTCTCGTTCGTAGTCAGAAACCTGGTTCGAAATCTACATATTCCGAAGAAGGACTCCACCATCCACGTTCATCGAATTGGGAGAATTCCGATAACCAAAACTCAAGTTGTCGTATCATTAACACTTCATTCAATAGATTCTAATTTTATTGTTACAATACAGGCTCATACCCTCAAGTTACTGACCACAGTAATACCTTCCACCGAACCAGCGGTGCATGATTGGCAAAATCTGGAAGGTCTACTGTTTGAGAATAAGAGACTCCGTTTAATAAGGCAATAAAATATCTGACAAGTAATGTCATGAAAATTGTATTTAAGACTTCAAAACTTTCCTGCTCATAATTATTTGTACTAGTGTCATAAAACATCTGGAAAACTCTAGCGGAACGTGCTCATACTCCCAGTGCAGTAGAACCTAATGGGTTTACTGCAGGGAGAACCCCAAAGTAGATTCAGAACGAATATCAGATATGCGTGAAGCATTGAGTACAAATATTTACTGCAACCGAAAACCCGTACGTACTACACATGCAATGACCATACGTGCGCACTCGGCCTTTAAGACAATGCTTGCATTGTTCTTGGCTATGCCACATCTGGTCGATCGTATTGGAAAATTGACCACGCCCAAGCGGACCCTTCTTCTAGCCAAGTCCCAGAGAGGGATGAGGCAACCAAAGAGAGGTGACCAATGGAAAAGGCTCGCCACCTTCCGACACTTTCCCAATTAGCAAATTCGGAACTGAGCCCGGAAGGAAGTGGAAATGAAGGCGTGCATAATCTATTGTGCGACCCAAGATCAACCACTGATTGGTTAATTAATAAAGGAAGAAGGGATCCCAAGTGGAGCGGGATCAGTGAATCATTTTAAGAAGGGACTACGTAATGTACCCTCACTTACTCTTTCCAAATACTTCTTACAGTGAAGGATAAGTCACGACCAACTCTCACGGAGGAGGACCGGAGAGATGAGTCGTTTAGCTAGCTGAGTTTTAATAATAAGTTCTTTCCACTATTGTGAATTAGTGTACAGTTGAATTGATCTCATCAAGACTGGATTGCGTGGGACCTGACCACTTGTGGTCTCACTTGGAGACAAGGAAGAACTGAAGGGTTGCAACATTGCAAGGGAACGTAATAACAAGCCATCGAAGAGAGACTGGAAAATCACGATACACTGCAAGTAAGTCCTTACAGCTAGTACTCATTCTTGATTTCTCGGCTTATGTAGAAGACGGACGGATAAAGTCCAACTACGGAAGCTTCCCGGACATACTCTTGAACAAGACCAGCTATAAACGCCACATTGGCTTCTCAACCCCTCCAACTACAAGTTGTGCATAACCTCCATCTCGGCTCTCTTACGACCGATATTTAAAGGCAACTACACACGTATTGAGATAAACACAATGGCATTCCAGTGTTCGATCAGAGCACTACAATCATGATAACCTCTTAGCGATAATATTCAATAGATTATAACCTGCTTCATTCATAGTAAATATATTTCAACACCACAAGATTATCAAGAAATATAAAGTTCGTCTGTAATTCACCATTTTGTAAATCAATTCAAATAAATAGAAATAATAAAGACATGTGTTAATTTTAGTCAGTGCATTTACCCTTTACTTGCCCGGCAACCCCACATAACATCTAGTGGGTTTTATTGTTCTACGTTAATTATTGCACGTTTGGCTGACTAGTCAAATTGTGGGATTATTTTCCGAACATCTACCTTTAGCAGACCCTTAGTATTTTGTACCTCGAGCAGTGGACATCATTCTGGGAGCTGATATATATGGACAAATAATCAAGCCTCAAGTCATCACCGATTCTCCGCATGTGCCGATGGCTCAATTCTCCATATTTGGATAGCTTGTGTTGGGACCAGCAAACTCCAATCGACACTCCATGGTTATAGCATTTCATGTATCCTGACATGACGATGAGGACACACTGCACCGGCTACTCACAAAATTTTGGGTTCTGGAAGAGATACATGCAGGCAACGCTCCCAAGCTCCCGCCAGAAGAGTAACAGTGTGAGGAACATTACAAGAACAATTACTCACGCACGTCGAGTGGAAGATATATAGTATGCATCGCGTTCACTTTCACCGCTGTTGGTCTAGGAGACACGTACGGAACCGTGTGTCGCATTTTACAGAGTCTGGTGAGAAAATTCTCAAAGGCAGAAAATTATCAACAACAATATCAACAATTCATGATAGAATATAAGAATCTTGACCACATGAGACAAGCTCCTCAAACTCCCAGTCATCAAGTCCAATACTATCTGCCACACCACGGTGTACTCAAACCTCATAGCACATTACCAAATTAAGAGTGGTATTCAATGGTTACTGCAAGTCGACCTCTGGACTCTCTCTCAACGATATTATGCATAC